AAACGCTTGGGTTTTGCAGTGTACAGCTAGCCATGCAGGTCGGCACAGGCAGCGACTGAAATAAACAAAAGGTGCGCCATCAACGGTGACATTCATATTCCCGGATTCGCGCACTGAGCATGGTGGAACCCTGAAGCTGTGACAAGAATACGCGTAGGTCAGCAGTGCAAGTTTAATTTCAAACACAAAACAGGGCCATCACTCTGAAGCTTGCCCATACATACGTGCTGCTTTAGAGCACAAACTGAAATACGATTTTTACCCTAACAAACCTGACAGATGGGTGAATCTGATGAAACTTTTTCAAATCAGTATTCAGTCGTCAACCTGACAATGACGCTTTCAAGAACAAAATTACCCAATTATGAAAGAAAAACTTCAAAATACAGTATTACAGCAGTTCTTAAAACCCCAACAGTCCTGAATCCTCCGATTTCCCTCTATGATTTTATATACACCCTATAGGGGTTAGGGCCTAAAAGTTGGCAGTAATCCTGAGCGCATCAACATATATTATGTTATGTGAACGCGCATGTTTTATTGTGGAATTAGCAGAATAAGACCTGGGAAAATTTCTGCATGTAGGCCTAACATTGTTTGTGCATATCACTTTTGTAGAGACTTTCCATCTATTCTGTTGTGTTATTCCTGGAGTTCACGTCTATACGGGTCACTTCATAATATGAAAAGTGAAAAAATCTAGTACTGGCTGTGTAGGAACAAATCGCTCAGTTTAACCAACTTGGTTATTTTGTACGTGTTCGTGTGGTGTATGTATTGCAATTACAAGGTGGAAGCGTGGTTGACCATTTTGAAAAGCACAGCGGCCTAGATTGAGTTTGAACGAAGAAGCGCAACATTAACGTCCATTCTGTGTAAGTGCAGTGTCGTTGCTGAATGCTGGACATTCGACTAAACCAACCATATCTGGACTTTTGTCACATGCACAAACCGGATTTTTCAACAGGCACGCTGACTTGAAAAGCTTGGCAAGTTTTCAGAATACCTTGGCTTATTTGATCAGCTCCAGCATTTGGGGTAGGATCCTGGCTGGGTAAAGGATCTACAGTGTACACCTGATGTGTTCAACACCTTACCTTTAGCTTTGTCGGCGTCATAATGAAAACCCCCACGAGATTTGGTTGTTGTTTCTTGGTGTGGTGGCATCTCACTGCTGGTGTTTGTTGCCAACCTACTGTGAATCCCATGGTGATTTCTCCAACAGAACCAATAAACGGTGAAAATGCTACACTGAAATGTACAGCAGGTGATTTCGATCCAGATCTTCACAGCTGGGTCTGGCAAAAAGGCGTAAATGAAACCTATTTTGATGTCACTGCCAGTGACAGGATTCTGTTCAGCCCTGTGGAACATGCGTTTTTAACTTTTTATTCCCAAACTCTTACAATCGTCGGTCTGAAGGAGTCAGATGAAGCAACATATCTTTGCATTGTTGTTGAAAGTAGCACTGGAACGTTTATCAATAACGGAGCTGGTGCTCTGTTTGTGAATTATCCTAGCGAATTTCCAGTTTGCTTTCCGGAAGGCCCGGCGGAAGTGATGGTTGGCGACAGTCTTTCTTGTCGAACAGTATCTGATGAAAGGCGTCCTGATGTAAGCGCTTCTGACGACCCTAACAGTCTTAAATCAGACTGGATTTTGATTTTGCTTAATGACAACGAAACGGGATCCAAGTTGGAAAAGAAAGTGACATCAAGAGATGATGAACGCACGTTTTCCTGCTTTTCAATTTTAGAAAAAGCGAACAAGACACTTTCATGTAAGATCGGGCCGTTAACAGTTACTTTTGAGACTACTTCCATAACCAGCCAACTCCTTATTGCTGGCATTGTGATAAGTGTTCTGGTCACAGTCTTCAGCTTCTGCGTTATTTTACTCTGCTTTCGCTACAGCCCACAATGTCGCTGCCACATACGCATGTTTTTCAGCCGATCTGATACGCCTTTTCCTCAAAGTGATTCAAATAATCTATCTGAGCTCCAAACAGGTAATCACCTGTATGAAACGTCGATAACTGGACCTCCTGCAGACAGTTTTCATGGAGGATCAGGTAACAATGTCCCGGCTGCTGAGAATCGGTCGTTGAACACTTCTGAAGTTGACCAAAATCTCACCTCCGTATCAGAGTGCGGCACGAGCTATGAGGGCGCGTTTTTCAAGCTTAACAAGAAAGACAATTCTAATTCGATGACTAAATCAGCTGATACTGACAGCTACATGGAGTTGAACCCGTCGAAACTTAACACGGATGTGTACACAGAACTCAAACTCTAACTCTGAGGTCTTTTGTTTCCTTTAATCTTCTTTGTGCTGTCACGAAAGTTGAGGAAAAAGTGTTTCAAATTGTTTTCATGGATTTGAAATCTTGAAATAGGATGACAATTTGAAGGAAAATAATGCTTACCTTGGTGCAGGAGAAAACGAAACAGATGCAAAGTATACCTTTTCAAAATCGAAATAGAGAAAGGGTAATATGGTGTAGCTGTAAGAATACTCTTACTGGTGTGGTTTTAATTTTTTAATGCTTCCTCAGAATGAATGATAAATTCCTATTAACTAATTTTAACATCGAGAATCTGTTATTATGTGATACTGAGTATGAGTTTAAAATTCATACTCCGAATTGTTATGATATTTGTTTTATCGATACTCTGTAGCAGTGATTACAATTAAATGAATTATGTCATGATTAGAATTAAACGTATAATGCCATGTTCTTAGAGAGACCTCATTCCTAATGAAAGTGATGCATAGAAACACTTGAGAACAAAAACTCAGAAGAGAAGTATTGTTTTTTCCACACTTGGTATGATAATACGTTAGACCTTAGTTGGCATTCAGAACCGCAATTGAGAATAAATAACTTATGAGGTCTTTTTTAGGGAGTGTTAAAATCCAAGCCATTTTGTGTGCCCATTTCACGGATCGTACCCACGGGATATTTCACGTTTCCCTGCCTTGAAACTTCAGCACAGAAAGCGTGAGTACAGCTAAAATTATTTGACGTGTTTATAAACTAAAGACAGTAAACATTAAATTTTGAACACGCGGTGCGTTTAGACGTAAAGGTGTGCAATAGTGTTTATCATCGGGACGTTAAACGCCTGTTCAGAGCTGCTTAAAACGTGACTTGCACATTTTTCGCCAATACCTTTAGTGGCAATGAAATGTGCAAATCTCATATTGTAAGCTGTTAATCTAGGCCGATGTAACGTTAACTATAGAGACGAAGAATGGGTTATCATTTGATTATTACATCAAAAATAAACACGGTGTTTAGACGATATGTTCGGTTGTACTGCCCATCGTTTAAGGCATGACTAGGCGCATGCGCTGTATGCACGCTCACGTGCATGCGCACTTCGATCTCTTTCCGCGTCCCCGGCACGTCTGCTTGCTGTTGTTCGTTGCAAATGTAGAGAAATCGAACTGTTCAGAGTTGAACTTTATTCGATTCTTCTGCAGGCTCTTCCATATAACATGCATAGATAGTTCAGGATATCAGACATGGGTGAAAATTTTCTGAAAAATAAGGTTTGTCAGAACTATGTCAACCATTTTTGTTCCCACTCTTCAAGTCACTGCGTATGACCTGGACACGAGTACATGTAATGTCATCGTTACCCATTAATGTGAGGGTGATAAACATTGCTCCCTTTAGAAACGCCTGAAAGTGTATAAAAAGTGTTAGAGCATGTACACATGTGTACAATGTAGGTGTTTGAGTGATAAACACACAAACGGCTTTATAATTAACGAGCTTTTAAAAACCATGTGCTAAACTCATCCGTATGATTTAATCATAAACATACGTTGCAGCGTTTATTAAATAAATAAAATAGTGTGTTCAGCATATAAACATGTCGTAAGTGTTTATTTATAAGCGTGTAAAAATGTTTAAATAAACAGTGTTGCAAATTTGCCTTTAGAAGTTAAACGCTTGGGTTTTGCAGTGTACAGCTAGCCATGCACGTCGGCACAGGCAGCGACTGAAATAAACAAAAGGTGCGCCATCAACGGTGACATTCACATTCCCAGATTCGCGCAGCATGGTGGAACCCTGAAGCTGTGACAAGAATACGCGTAGGTCAGCAGTGCGGCAAGTTTAATTTCAAACACAAAACAGGGCCATCACTCTGAAGCTTGCCCATACATACGTGCTGCTCTAAAGCACAAACTGAAATATGATTTTTACCCTCACAAACCTGACAGATGGGTGAATCTGGGGAAACCTTTTCAAATCAGTATTCAGTCGTCAACCTGACACTGACGCTTTCAAGAACAAAATTACCCAATTATGAAAGAAAAACTTCAAAATACAGTATTACAGCAGTTCTTAAAACCCCAGCAGTCCTGAATCCTCCGATTTACCTGTATAATTTTATATACGGGCCTAAAAGTTGGCAGTAATCCTGAGCGCATCAACATATATTATGTTATGTGAACGCGCATGTTTTATTGTGGAATTAGCAGAATAAGACCTGGGAAAATTTCTGCATGTAACATTGTTTGTGCATGTCACTTTTGTAGAGACTTTCCATCTATTCTGTTGTGTTATTCCTGGAGTTCACGTCTATACGGGTCACTTCATAATATGAATAGTGAAAAAATTTAGTACCGGCTGTGTAGGAACAAATCGCTCAGTTTAACCAACTTGGTTATTTTGTACGTGTACGTGTGGTGTATGTATTACAATTACAAGGTGAAAGCGTGGTTGACCATTTTGAAAAGCACAGCGGCCTAGATTGAATTTGAACGAAGAAGCGCAACATTAACGTCCATTCTGTGTAAGTGCAGTGTCGTTGCTGAATGCTGGACATTCGACTAAACCAATCATATCTGGACTTTTGTCACATGCACCAACCGGATTTTTCAACAGGCACGCTGACTTGAAAAGCTTGGCAAGTTTTCAGAATACCTTGGCTTATTTGATCAGCTCCACCATTTGGGTTAGGATCCTGGCTGGGTAAAGGATCTACAGTGGACACCTGATGTGTTCAACACCTTACCTTTAGCTTTGTCGGCGTCATAATGAAAACCCTCACGAGATTTGGTTGTTGTTTCTTGGTGTGGTGACATCTCACTGCTGGTGTTTGTTGCCAACCTACTGTGAATCCCATGGTGATTTCTCCAAGAGAACCAATAAACGGTGAAAATGCTACACTGAAATGTACAGCAGGTGATTTTGATCCAGATCTTCACAGCTGGGTCTGGCAAAAAGGCGTAAATGAAAGCTATTTTGATGTCACTGCCAGTGACAGGATTCTGTTCAGCCCTGTGGAACGTGCGTTTTTAACTTTTTATTCCCAAACTCTTACAATCGTCGGTCTGAAGGAGTCAGATGAAGCAACATATCTTTGCATTGTTGTTGAAAGTAGCACTGGAACGTTTATCAATAACGGAGCTGGTGCTCTGTTTGTGAATTATCCTAGCGAATTTCCAGTTTGCTCTCCGGAAGGCCCGGCGGAAGTGATGGTTGGCGACAGTCTCTATTGTCGAACAGTATCTGATGAAAGGAGTCCTGATGCAAGAACTTCTGACTATGTTAGCAGTCTAAAATCAGACTGGATTTTGATTTCACTTAATGACACTGAAACGGGATCACAGTTGGAAAAGAAAGTGACATCGATAGATGATGAACTCACGTTTTTCTGCTTCTCAATATCAGAAAAAACGAACAAGACACTTTCATGTAAGATCGGGCCGTTGACGGTCACTGATGATAATATAATCACTACCAATCTAATTGCGATTTCCACTACCAGTCTGACTGCTCCCACTGTCGATAGTTATCACTCTACAACTTGCCCACACTTTATTACTGGCATAGCATTAAGTGTTCTGGTCACAGTTGTCAGCATATGCGTTAACTTACTCTGCTTTCGCTACGACCCACAACGTCTCTGTCAGTTACGCAGGTTTTTTAGCCGAGCTGAGACACCTCGTCCTCAAAGTGATTCAAGTAATCCAACTGAGCTCCGAACAGATAATTGTCTGTATGAATCGTCGATAACTGGACCTTCTGGAGACTGTTTTCAGGGAGAATCAGGTAAAAAATCTGAAGTAGTTGACAAAAATCTGACTACCGTAGCACTGAGCGACAGAAAAAATGAGAGCAGGCTTTCTATTAACATGACAGATGATTCTTTGACGACCAGATCCGCTGACAGTTACATGGAGTTGAAGGCATCGAACCTGGATACCGATGCGTACATAGAACTAAAACTCTAAGCGTAAAGGCTTTGGTTTTTTTATATTTCTTCTTTATGATATCAAGAAAGCTAGGAAAAACCTTTATTCAGATTGTTTTTATGGATTTTGAAATCTTGAAAAGAATAAGAATTTGAATGAAAGTCTTCCTTGTCTTTGTGCGGGAGCAAACGAAACAAATGCAAGTATACCTTTCCAAAATCCAAATCTTGATAAGAGAAAAAGTGATCCGTCATCAAAGGTGTGCAATGTTACAGTAAGCCTTTGTTTGTTGAAGCGGTTCCGCACGAAAAGTTTTTTCTTTGTTTTTCGAAGTACTTATCTGTTTACAAAAATCCTTCGTGATTGGAAATACTTCATTTTGGTTTTTTTTCACACATTCATGTATACTGGGAAAAATTATAATTCAGGAACGGATCACTAGAGTCATTCATCAAAGACTAAAGTTAAGTGTTATTTCGCAAAGAGCTATCTCAGCAAGAGCACCATTTGTAACATGTAGCTGTATAGTAAAACTCTTGCTGGTGTTGTTCTTGATTTTTTCAAAAATGTTTCTTCAGAATGAATGATTTTTACCTATTAATTTTAACATCGAGAGTCTTTGATTGTGTGATACTGAGTCTGAGTTTACACTATACGTGAAATAAAGTTGTCTTTGCACCACCGTAAGCACATGATACGTGGTCGACTGCAAACACAAAAGCAAAAAAGATTCTGTTCATGGTTTATACTCCACACTGTTCATATATTTGCTTCGTGTAGAAATTTCAGCATTGGTTACAATTAAATGTATACTGTCATGTTGTTAGAAGTCTTCAGTCCTGATGAAAGTTATGAAGAAACACTTGGCAACAAAAACTCACAAGAGAAGCTTTGTATTTCCCATACTTGTGTATTGTACATTAAACCTCAGTATGTATTCGGAAAAGCAGTTCAGAATAGGCCTAAGTAGTAACTTATAAGGTCTTTTGAGGGGGTGTCAAAATTCCAGTCATTTTGTGCACCCATTTCGCAGATCGTACCAACGAAATATTTCACGTTTCGTCGCCTTAAAACTTGGGCACGGAAAAAGTGAGTACGGCTCTCATGGACTACAGTCAGGTCGGCACGGGCAGCGATTGTAATAAACAAAAGGTGCGCCCTCAACACCTTCCCAAGACGTTGTTGCTGGCGTGGCTAGTTGTAGTTCGTGCGTTCCATCATTTCGTTTTTGTGATCGCCCTCTCGCGTACCAAGACTAACTTGAACCCTGAAACTGTGATGGAAATACGCGTAGGCCAGCTGTTATACGAGTTTTGTTTCGAACATAAAACAGGACCATCTCTCTAAAACTTCCCGGTTCGTATGTGCTGCTCTGAGACACAGAATTACCACAGAAATATGGTTTTTACCTTAACAAGCCTGACGGGTTGGTGAACCTGAGAAAACTTTTTCCAATCAGTTTTCTGTCATCAACCTGACCCCGAAGCTTTCAAGAATAAAATTGTGCAAACAAGACACTTCCAAGTAAGATCGGGCCGTTAACAGTTACTTTTGAGGCTTCTTCCATAACTAGCCCACTCCTTATTGCTGGCATTGTGATAAGTGTTCTGGTCACAGTCTTCAGCTTCTGCGTTATTTTACTCTGCTTTCGCTACAGCCCACAATGTCTCTGCCAGATACGCATGTTTTTCAGCCGATCTGATACGCCTTTTCCTCAAAGTGATTCAAATAATCTATCTGAGCTCCAAACAGGTAATCACCTGTATGAAACGTCGATAACTGGACCTCCTGCAGACGGTTTTCATGGAGGATCAGGTAACAATGTTCTGGCTGCTGAGAATCGGTCGTTGAACACTTCTGAAGTTGACCAAAATCTCACCTCCGTATCAGAGTGCGGCATGAGCCATGAGGGCGCGTTTTTCAAACTTAACAAGAAAGACAATTCGAATTCGATGACTAAATCAGCTAATACTGACAGCTACATGGAGTTGAACCCGTCGAAACTTAACACGGATATGTACACAGAACTCAAACTCTAACTCTGAGGTCTTTGGTTTCTTCAAATCTTCTTTGTGCTGTCACGAAAGTTGAGGAAAAAGTGTTTCAAATTGTTTTCATGGATTTGAAATCTTGAAATAGGATGACAATTTGAAGGAAAATAATGAAGATGGAAAGCTTGCGGAAAATAATGCTTACCTTGGTACAGGAGGAAACGAAACAGATGCAAAGTATACCTTTTCAAAATCGAAATAGAGAAAGGGTAATATGGTGTAGCTGTAAGAATACTCTTACTGGTGTGGTTTTAATTTGTTTAATGCTTCCTCAGACTGAATGATAATTTCCTATTAATTTCCTATTATTTTAACATCGAGAATCTGTTATTATGTGATACTGAGTATGAGTTTAAAATTTATACTCCAAAGTGCTATGATATTTGTTTTATCGATACTCTGTAGCAGTGATTACAATTAAATGAATTATGTCATGATAAGAATTAAACGTATAATGCCATGTTCTTAGAGAGACCTCATTCCTAATGAAAGTGATGAAGAGAAACACTTGATAATACGTTAGACCTTAGTTGGCATTCGGAACCGCAATTGAGAATAAATAACGTATGAGGTCTTTTTAGGGAGTGTTAAAATCCAAGCCATTTTGTGTGCCCATTTCACTGATCGTACCCACGGGATATTTCACGTTTCCCTGCCTTGAAACTTTGGCACAGAAAGCGTGAGTACAGCTCAAATTGTTTGACGTCTTTATAAACTAAAGACATTAAACATTAAATTTTGAACACGCGGTGCGTTTAGACGTGAAGGTGTGCAATAGTGTTTATCATCGGGACGTTAAACGCCTGTTTAGAGCTGCTTAAAACGTGACTTGCACATTTTTCGCCAATACCTTTAGTGGCAATGAAATGTGCAAATCTCATATTGTAAGCGGTTAATCTAGGCCGATATAACGTTAACTATACGGATGAAGAGTGGATTGTCACTTGATTATTACATCAAAAAAAAAAAAAAAAACCACGGTGTTTAGACGATATGTTCGGTTGTACTGCCGATCGTTTAAGGCATGACTAGGCGCATGCGCTGTATTTACACTCACGTGCATGCGCACTTCAATCTCTTTCCGCGTCCCCGGCACATCTGCTTGCTGTTGTTCGTTGCAAATGTAGAGAAATCGGACTGTTCAGAGTTGAATTTTATTCGATTCTTCTGCAGGTTCTTCCATATAACATGCATAGATAGTTCAGGATATCAGATATGGGTGAAAATTGTCTGAAAAATAAGGTTTGTCAGAAGTATGTCAACCATTTTTGTTCCCACTCTTCAAGTCACTGCGTATGACCTGGACACGAGTACATGTATGTCATCGTTGCCCATTAATGTGAAGTTGATAAACATTGCACCTTTCAGAAACGTCTAAAAGTGTAAAAAAAAAGTGTTACAGCCTGTACACATGTGTACAATGTAGGTGTTTGAGTGATAAACACACAAACGGCTTTGTAATTAACAAGCTTTTAAAAACCATGTGCTAAACTCATCCATATGATTTAATCACAAACATACGTTGCAGCGTTTATTAATAAATAAATAAAATAGTGTGTTCAGCATATAAACATGTTGTATGTGTTTATTTATAAGCGTGTCAAAATGTTTGATTAAACAGTGTTACAGATTTCTTGCGTTTAGAAGTTAAACGCTTGGGTTTTGCAGTGTACAGCTAGCCATGCACGTCGGCACAGGCAGCGACTGAAATAAACAAAAGGTGCACCATCAACGGTGACATTCATATTTCCAGATTCGCGCAGCATGGTGGAACCCTGAAGCTGTGACAAGAATATACGCGTAGGTCAGCAGTGCGGCAAGTTTAATTTCAAACACAAAACAGGGCCATCACTCTGAAACTTGCCCATTCATACGCGCTGCTCTAAAGCACAAACTGAAATATGATTTTTGCCCTAACAAACCTGCCAGATGGGTGAATCTGAGGAAACCTTTTCAAATCAGTACTCAGTCGTCAACCTGACACTGACGCTTTCAAGAACAAAATTACCCAATTATGAAAGAAAAACTTCAAAATACAGTATTACAGCAGTTCTTAAAACCCCAGCAGTCCTGAAAACCCCAGCAGTCCTGAATCCTCCGATTTCCCTGTATGATTTTATATACACCCTATAGGGGTTAGGGCCTAAAAGTTGGCAGTAATCCTGAGCGCATCAACATATATTATGTTATGTGAACGCGCACGTTTTATTGTGGAATTAGCAGAATAAGACCTGGGAAAATTTCTGCATGTAACATTGTTTGTGCATGTCACTTTTGTAGAGACTTTCCATCTATTCTGTTGTGTTATTCCTGGAGTTCACGTCTATACGGGTCACTTCATAATATGAAAAGTGAAAAAATCTAGTACTGGCTGTGTAGGAACAAATCGCTCAGTTTAACCAACTTGGTTATTTTGTACGTGTACGTGTGGTGTATGTATTGCAATCACAAGGTGAAAGCGTGGTTGACCATTTTGAAAAGCACAGCGGCCTAGATTGAGTTTGAACGAAGAAGCGCAACATTAACGTCCATTCTGTGTAAGTGCAGTGTCGTTGCTGAATGCTGGACATTCGACTAAACCAACCATATTTAAACTTATGTCACATGCACAAACCGGATTTTTCAACAGGCACGCTGACTTGAAAAGCTTGGCAAGTTTTCAGAATACCTTGGCTTATTTGATCAGCTCCACCATTTGGGTAAAGGATCTACAGTGTACACCTGATGTGTTCAACACCTTACCTTTAGCTTTGTCGGCGTCATAATGAAAACCCTCACGAGATTTGGTTGTTGTTTCTTGGTGTGGTGGCATCTCACTGCTGGTGTTTGTTGCCAACCTACTGTGAATCCCATGATGATTTCTCCAAAAGAACCAATAAACGGTGAAAATGCTACACTGAAATGTACAGCAGGTGATTTTGATCCAGATCTTCACAGCTGGGTCTGGCAAAAAGGCGTAAATGAAACCTATTTTGATGTCACTGCCAGTGACAGAATTCTTTTCAGCCCTGTGGAACATGCGTTTTTAACTTTTTATTCCCAAACTCTTACAATCGTCGGTCTGAAGGAGTCAGATGAAGCAACATATCTTTGCATTGTTGTTGAAAATAGCACTGGAACGTTTATCAATAACGGAGCTGGTGCTCTGTTTGTGACTTATCCTAGCGAATTTCCAGTTTGCTCTCCGGAAGGTCCGGCGGAAGTGATGATTGGCGACAGTCTTTCTTGTCGAACAGTAACTGATGAAAGGAGTCCTGAAGCAAGAGCTCCTGGCGACCCTAGCAGTCTTAAATCAGACTGGATTTTGAGTTCGCTTAATGACACCGAAACGGGATCCCAGTTGGAAAAGAAAGTGACATCGGTAGATGATGAACTCACGTTTTCCTGCTTCTCAATTTCAGAAAAAACGAACAAGACAGTTTCATGTAAGATCGGGCCGTTGACAGTTGTCAATCCACCTACAACAGGTTTATCCGTCCCTGCGATCGTGGGAATTGCAGCCGGCGGGCTACTTCTTCTGCTTCTCACGTGCGCCTTGTGCTGTGGTTGCAATCGGAAGCGATGTTTCCGACCGAAGTCATACCTTCTCAACTTCACTGGCCTCTTTGGAATATCTTCGAAGCAAGATGATGCCGAAAGAAATCAGCAAGAACAGGAAATGGACGTCAACAACCTTGACCGGGGCAACGAACCCCCCATATCCCCTACAGGTGGCCAGACGATGTTTTCCTTTGAAGGAAGCGACGAGGAGAGCAACCTCCCACCACCGGTGAGCGAGCCGAACATTTACGTGGATCACGCCGTTCCCGGACCCTCAACGTCACAGTTCGTGCCGGACCCTTCAGAAAACTGGCACGAGATCGACCTGAAAGCTGAGTTGGCCCGGGCTTTGAGTGATGACGAAGAAGACGAGTAGAAATACTAAAACATTTCAGCAACACATTTTTGGACAAGCTGAAAATCCTTAATGTCTAAGCTTTTGAATACATTCAATTACATTCAACTTTTACATGGAGGTAAGATCATGCATTAAAAAAGACCGAAAGAGCATATGATTGAGGTATAATTTTAGGCAGTTCTGATATGAGCTATAGTTTACCCGTTGTTCGGGATCTGTCAGACATTAGTAAGCAAATTACTAGACCAAACCTGTATTGGCCGCGAGACTATCACAAAATTGGGTATATGAATACCTAAACTCTTATGTCACACTGCAGCATGTGTGTATCAGATATATTACCAGTTACCCCAGATATCATAAAATGAAAGTATAAGAGGATATTGTAAAATTTTGACAAAGTTTGGTGCAAGGGGCTTTTTTCGAAAGTGTTAAAAAAAACTGAGCATGATATAAAGAAATCATTATGTTATCTAGTATCTATTATTCACTTGGGAAAGATTAACAAAGACATATAAGCAAATAAATTTTAAAGCTCATTGGTATGAACGACATCCAGCTCTGAATCGTATTCATCTTGATCTTGTCATTAGTCATATTTGCGTTGTGATTTTTGGTGATGAACCCCACTTTGTACTAAGATTGAACTTTTCAATCAAAATTGGCGTTTAGGTTGACACTGATTTCGGCCTCTATTTAAGAATAAGCCGTTTATGAGTTAAATTTGAATAAAATATGGTACACTGAGATATATCTTATTGTATATAAACAACAATTTTAATTCCCCAGACTAAAGACACCGTTGCTACACCTCCTGCCAGTGGCTTTAGTGTGGGGGATTCAAAGTGTTATATTCACTTGAATTCAAAGAACTCAGTGTACCAGATTTCATTCAAATTTAATTCGCGAAAGGCTTATTGAACATAAGCTTCTTCATGCCATTTTAAAGTGAAGGTTGATTAAGAGTCCAGTGCGATTATTTCCACATTATAGATTAAAAATCAATTTATGTCAGGGTGCATTCCGGGTAGGATTTAGTGAATTTGCAGATAACTGTGAGGACGTCACTTGTAAACACTCTGTAGGCATTGCAACACTCTGTAGGCATTGCACTAGATATTTCTGATTTATTACCCGTTCTGCAGGTGTTATTGTTGTGTATATTTTTTGTAAGGATACAGCTATGACTATGAGAAATGCTAAATATAATTACTGATGTTTAGTTCGCAATGTGCGTTAACTTTAATATATATTGTTTAAATAATCCTGTTGTAAGAGTACTAGCTCGATTTTCATTTCTCTGTATTTTTAGTGGACACAACCCATAATTTTTGGATCTTACATACTCAGAAATATTTTACGAAACTATTTACAAATACTCTAACAATTATTGCGACAGTAGCTGTTTAATTTTGATAGTTTCAGTTGGTTATTAGGTAAATAAACTTACGTCAAAATCTGGAACATGCATCTCCATTTTGCTTGCAAATTTTGAAGGTACTTTTTTCTGTAAGACTTGGAGTTTTTTTTTCTAGCAAGAATCTGCAGCCCGTGTGTTTAATTTGGCTTTGTGCATGCCTGTCTTTTCTGCTGCATCTCATTATTTTTCATTGTAAT